TACAATTCCTCAGTAAAGCCCAGGTCACACATTCCTTGTATTTGCCGTGTTTTACGGTTTGGTGCGATGTAGCCACGTAAAGTACCGGTAACGATACTGTTATTACCGTAGTTTACCAGGATAGATCCCAGTACATCCTGGTACTACTACGGTATCACCAAGGTTTGTCTACAGTTTGTCCCTCTTTATCCCCCTTCACCACGTATCGTCACGGTAGTAGCACGGCCGTTCCCGGTAGGGTTCAGGTGCGGATCCAGAGGGGGGGAGGGACCCCCCCCCCCCTGCTCAGCTACATAAATTTGTTTGTAAATCAACACTTTTTATGACAAAAGTTTCTCGGCTGTGTGCTTTATCCTTTATCGTTAGACGTGGGGCATGATGGGCACTCAAAGCATGAGATAATGATATAGACATTATTTAATATCACAATTAATGCTTTGCATCCATGAAATTGAATCACAATATCATTGTATTAATTCATAATAAAAATTGACGTCGAACAAGGTGTTAAATTTCTCTGTTTAAAAAGCTCAATGTGTATGTATATACGCCAAAATGACGATAGAGACCATGCGGGAGGGGGAGATACATTGTCTCAGGAGCCTGGCAAACCCCCTCCTGCAAAAATTCCTGGATCCGCCCCTGGGGTTACGGTAACTCGCGATAATGCTACCTTCGTCCTCAGTGGTGCTACGATGCCACCACGGATTGCTCTTTTGCCATGGTTCACCATATATTAAAACCACCGTAGCGACCTACGATTTAACACGGTTCGCCCCGTGTCATCCAGTATGCTTACGGTAGCGCCACCGGGGCCAAATACAGGGAAGGTGTGACTGGGGCTTAAGTGGTTAATGTATTTATAGCTCAAGGAAGATACGATATTCAGATTGACTTGCTTTGGAAAGCAGTGAGGGTAATCCTGTTAGTGCATTCAGATCACTTCTGTATAATTTAGAATAAAACATGTAATGCAGCAAATGGATTAGACGAATGCCGTAATTGGAATGGCAACGATCTTAAAGCAAAGCAAATGTCAAGCCGGAAAAGATAATACAAATGGAAACCTGACAATCAAATGGATAAACCATATATTTTAAATACAAATCAGTAGATCTTATTGCATCATGTTACTTTGCAATATTCTGTTTTGGAATTGAAGCATGGTCCCTGCTATAATTGTATAAAGGTTATACAAGAGACAATATACACATCAACATGCAATGGAATTGGTTACCGTATTAATGTTTGGAGTTTGTGCAAAGTGTTATTGTGGTTGGTATGATGCATGAGGACCCATCACTGAAGCAAGGAAAATGGATCACATTAAACCATCATTAAGAACCCTCTATTCAAGACTCTGTTACTGTCCAGCACGACGATATTTTCAAGATCTACTTTAAGAACAAGTCATTATTACTTATTCCTGCCGTCAAACTCCATCAGACGAAATGATTTTTTCACTTTACAGCATCTTTCCTCCGGAATGCACATGTGTAAACAAGACATGGACGCAAAATATTTGTCTCTGAAACTTTATTAAATATAATGTAATCCTATGGATAAAAAGACTCTTATAGCAGAAATTAGTTTACCAAACGTTAAAAGGACGAGTGCAGATCATATGAATACCAAACGGAAGAAATCAAAAGGACAAAGAAAAGAGTAACATCAGTCACGAAAAGCCACGTAGAAAGTTAAAGATACATTATGGGAGATTAGATAACGAGTTGGCAGTTCTCACAATAATAGTTAAAAACTACATAATGTAAAGGCAATTTGCTGAAAATTTCAGTCAAATTGATTCACTATGAACCGAGAAATAAGCGATCGAAAGTTTCGCATAGCCTCGGTCATCATTACTAAAGTCGGTCAGACAAAAATCATAGTCTCGATTATCCACTTAATCGTTAAATCAAGAAGGAAAGTTATGCAGCAAATCGGATCATAATCCAACAATTATCGCAGGCTAGCGTTGACATCGAGAGTTGATTATGGTCTTGATACGTTAATTAATGTCTAATTAATAGTTTATATAACATTTCAGGCCTAAAGAAAGACCTGCAATAGGCAGATTTAGCTCTTGCATAATGCATGTTTAAATGAGAGCATTGAGAGTAAAAAACGACAACAAAACAGGGTATGAATGAACATAACAATAGTATGAGCACTTTCTGTGTGTCACCATGAACTGACCAACAATGCACCCCAAGGCTTCAGTGCCCACAGATCCAACATTTACATTTAGAACCTAAAATGGACGTAAAATGGCTCAAATGGCACATGTTAATGTAATATGTATGTATATCAACTGATTCAAGAGCATAAAGTACACGTTGTCGTGTATTGGTTTTAAAATTGTTGTCTGTGTCTTCAATGTTGGATGACAGGATCCCATATCTTCATAGTAAGATAACGTCATCAATATTGATTACAATGGACCAATAATTCGTGTTTGTAATGTCGAAGACTGTGGATGATATTGTCATTTGCGTTTTCACATTGATTTCCCACCCAAATCGAAAAATTCTCGCACGTTTAAATATTTTAAATATCAATTTATCACAATTTGAATTTATCTTAACAGTATACATTTTCATTTATTTCAAACACGCACGTTACGGGATTCTGGGTCCTAAAGAACCCAGGACTTGCTTATTGCGTAAGATTCAATTTTTTTTCGTTATGATATCTTATACTTTTTATAACAGCTTCTGACAGTTACTAAGCCAATCTTAATGCATTACACTTTAGATTTTCTATAATAACGAGAAACTAGTTAAAGATAAATGATCACAAATGTTTGTTGTCAGCATTCGCACAAAAAAATTGTTTATAGCGCCTTAGATAAAACACATTTATTCAACAAATTACATGTTTTTAAAATACTTCGGTGTTTTATAGGAAATGAAGACGGGGTAACACCATGAAATGTGTTGAATATGAGCGATGTTTCCGCCTAGTCTTCACAGAACTCCGGGTTGACCTCCGACCTGTACCATTGACAGCAGGAAAGCAGATTGTTTTTAGGAATGTGTTTACTTATTAATATTTGGGTCTGTAAGGGAAATCTCTGACGTCACAAGCATCAGGTCGAGACCATATTAAAGTGAACAATAACATCTTTTTAATTTTCAAAATATGTGAATTTCTTTTATTGTGATGCTTCATTATCCCAGTAAATCCATTGGGATTAATTTTAATTACATTGATCAAATGTAAAAAAAAAAAAAAAAAAAATAATAAGAAAAAAAAAAATTAAAAAAAAATTCGTTATGTTTTCGATGCTAATACACATACAGTGTAAGGAAGTCCCATTAAGTTCTATATTAAAAAGTATACGTTTCCATAAACCGCGGCAGCATAGACATATTGGCTATTCTCTTTAGGGAGGTTTGATGACCGAACGATTTGGACGTGCGCGTTGTATCGTAAGGTCTATCAATGAGTCAACTGGCGTTGTTTCGATTTCCCGGTTGTACGTGACAAGGAATAGGGTTGCCTTTCGAACCTCGTGGGTTTTCTCAGGGTCTTACTGTTTCCTCCAACTGCTAAAAACCGCTACGAATATATAATAAAAATAAACCATATGTTATCCCCGAAATGACCTAGTCTATATCGAGTGGACGTTAAACTCTCTCTCTCTCTCTCTCTGTCTCTCTGCTTCTCTCTGATTTTGAACCAGAAAGATCAAGAAGTAAACAGATTTAAGGAAAGCTGATGTAACTGCCTAAAGAGGCATGCTGGGTTCATTGTGGTGATAAAGATTAAGATTATCTGAATGTTAAACAGATGTATAGGACAGCGAGAAAGACGCTGGCTCGCTAGCCTGGAGAACGCGGGTTCGCTCGTAGTGTTGGCTGAAAAAGTTCATCGGGAATTGCCGGCGCGATTTCCCCTTGCCAGGAAGGAGGGCCTGACAAGGACAGCTGTCTAGTCGCTGGGATGGGACGAAAAACTGAGGTCCCGTGCTCACATTGGCGTGCGCGTAAAAGATCTCTTGGCAGTTGGAATTCGATATAAGACTAGGCCGTAGTGCCCCTGTCCGGACAAACTTTCCCTCATAGCACACTGTATGTCGTATGCCCGTCTTCATTAGCCCAGACGGAATAGAACAGTAGGACGTTGAACCCCATTTTATTTCATTTTAAGTCAATGAAATACTAGAGCATTACTAGCCTTTGGCCTGATATCGGAAATCGAAGTGAAACTGCCCTGAAGACGGTCACGTACCTGTCGGAATAATTGGAAAATATGAATTTCGTTCCGTCGTTTCTGTGACCATACGCCATGTACTATGAGGGGAATCATATCCAGATAGCACTGTTTCAACCTACAATTCAGTGATTTTCAAGACTTCTTTTTCCAGTACCCGTCTTCATTAGCCCATTTCATTTTACCAGCATGCCATAGATTATTTATGTACACATCAGCGTATACATAGAATATTGTCCCAACCAAACAACTAGACACTTGCCAGGCCGTCCGTCCTACACCACTGACAAAGGAAACCAGACGAGCAAATTCCTTTTCCGGAACACCCATTTCAATATTCTCTCGTCTTGTGTTTTGACATGACTTTTTGACAATTACCTGCAACTATACTGACAACAAAATATCAAGGATTCAGGAATATATCTTTGGCGTTATTACATAAAGTTTACAAATTTTGGGATATATTTCATTTAAAAAGGTAATCTTTAATGATATCTTAAAAATAATTGATTAATTAACAGACAACAATTGCAATTAATCCAACTAAATTTCAGACTATACACTCTTGACGCTATAAGAAACCCATGCAGGGCATATCAACTCCTTTTAGAACAACCCATAACACCATTTTTTTCATTGAGAAATTCACACCGATAACAATCACCTTTGTACTTTTATGATTACATAGGTTATTGTTTTTGTATATTTATAGGTCATTGTTTTTTTGTATATTACAGGCCTTTGTTTTTTTATATCTATAGGTTATTGTTTTTGTATATTTATAGAGTATGCGAGTAGAAATTGTAGTGTCAATGGTACATGGTATGTGAACCCTTCCACCAATGGTGAATGGACCAACTACACAAGTTGTTTAAACCCATCACCTCAATCGCCAGATTTTGTATCAAATTCAGTGAGTATTGAATAATGGGGTGAAAGGCGCTGCTTGTACAAAATGAAAGGAAATGGTAACTGTTCTGCACCGACTCTGCTAATTCGAACGGTCAAGGGTTCTTTTACATACAAGCAAATGTATATAAAGGACCTCGGTTTTTTGTCCCATCCCAACGACTAGACAGTGCTAGGGGAGCTCTCAGAATTAAATGAGATAAAACATTGTTCTGAACGTTTCTGTACACGGTCATTATTAAATAATACGTTACGGTAAATTCTGCTGTATTGTCAGCTGTTTCCTGTTCTAACATGTATAATTATTATATACAACATGGGGCTTTCTGTTTGTGTAATATGCAGAATGTATCAGGTACATATAACTTTTTCTTGAATCACATACAGAACGTAACATTCATATAGCATTTAATTACAAAAATTACTCTTCTATCACATATTATATACGTAATTTCTTAAGGAATCATAATTGTTACATTATCCTTTTTTTTGTAGGAAGTAGCTAGTAATCTACATTTGATATACACAATAGGCTACAGTATATCATTGGCGTTTCTAACATTAGCTGTCATTATTATGTTCTGTTGCCGGTACGTACATCCATTCTTTGTGTTTCTTATTTTAAATATAAACATGATTTCATGGTACTGGTATTGAATTTTTAATTTTCAACAATCGTGCGTTTCATATTATAATAAATAACTCAGAGACAATTTACAGTTGTTAGAGAAGGTGGAGGGGGTTATTGAAATAACAGAATGGAGTTATGTCCCATAGTTATGTGGACATAATCGGTTAGATCTATTGACAACTTCAAGTAAACTGGGCTAGCGCTAATTCCAACCCTAAACCTAACCCTGGACCTAGCCACAATGCTTACCCTAACCCTAACTAACAATGTCATCAACAATCACCTTATGTACATCTTAGTGAACTTGACGAAAATTGAGCTAGCCTTAACAAATAGATTTAGCCGGACATAATTTTAGAAATCAAATATGAACGTGTGCTCCTAGCAATGATTGTATGTTTTGCATCAATTTTTGCATTTCATATAACCTTTGTCACGTTATAACGAATGCTCTTTAAATCCTGTATCCACGGATGACGACAAACTCGTGATTACACAAGTGACAAATGGCTGCAAATGTGCGTCTGATATAAATATCTATGATAGTCTGTGCGGTATTGTATGTAGACTCCGATTATAGCCTATTAAGAGCAAACATCGAATTTCGATTGTCAAACCCCATGCTATAGTTTAAACTATGCTAAGATAACACCTTTATTCTAGAAGATTGCAGAGTAAAAGTAACGTTTTGCACATCAACTTGTTCTTCGCCTTCATCATTCGTTCATCAGTCGCCTTTCTTAAAGATCTCCTGTTTGTAAGGTCCCTTGGTTTAGCTAAAGATGTGGTACAACTGCCAGACGGCCATTATGAATTTATACAAGAAGGAACGGTACGTATTCGTTCTGTTTTCTTTAACCACTTCGTATCAGTTGCGAAAATCATCCACGACAGTTCGTCAAGGTAAATTTGTACTAAATTGCAGTTAGTAAAGGGAGATAACTACACTTTAAACATTGTGTTTTGGATGCAGACCACCATTGAATATTTATTCCGCTTTCATTTAAGAAAGTAGAACGGGTTTATTTAGTCTTTATGTGTATGACAGATGTGAAACCGGGTAGAACCGCATTACAAAATAGTATACTAATTATTAGATATGGTGGTCATTCAGGGCAGAGATCTTTTCTCGAAGTAGATAGTTGTCTGTGTGAAATAATCTAGTCTGCGTTGATTTGTCACACAGCACCATCTGTCCCACTTTAATATATTTTATACATCATGTTTCAATTTAAAGTAAAGTAATTATATATTGTTTATTTTTTCAGCATTGGGAATGTAAATTTATATTTACATTATTTAATTTTGCTATCTGTGCTTGTCATATGTGGATATTTGTAGAAGGTTTATATTTATACATGTTAATACATAAACCTCTCTATATTGGGCGTAAAGGTGTTAATTTCTATGTGGCTTTAGGATGGAGTAAGTATAATATATTTCATTTTAATTTTGTGGTTAACGTCATAACTAACAAATAAATAGCCGATTTGATCACACATAATATGTTAACTTCATAAGAATATCAACAATATATGCACACTGTTACATTAGGAAGCCTGACACTGAAACCCTGTACAAATATTTAGTTCAAGTAATACCATTGTCGTAGGGTTCGATTTTGAATTTTCTTTAAAAATACTTAAGGGCCAAAAGCTGTATTACATATCCTCTAATTGCCGCCCGTGTGTCCGCCGTACCTTAACATTTTATATCTTCGACTTTGACGCCAGTGCCACATTCAGCCAAATTTGAAAGGTGTGTTCCTTATTCTTCAAATTAAGTATATGGGTCAATAGCTGCGGGTTGCATACCTAGATGGAAAAATTAGATTTTGCCCGATAGTGCTTACTCTCATTACTTAATATGAAGATGCTCAACCCTATAGGGGTAGGACAGGGCCACTAAATGGGCGAATTTAAACCTTTCATACGTTTTCGATTTCTTCTACAAAACCACTGAAACGGAGAATTAAGCCATGTTATTTGGTGGTGGTGGTTATTTGATTTTGTTCAAACCTAGGTGATTACACTATAGGCGCTGAACGCGGGGTTTGCGTGTGTGTGTGTGTGTGGAGGGGGGCATCTTAAGGAATAGATTTAGACATTTTTGCACATTTTCAACATCGTCTCCAAGATCCCAAATCAATGGATGTGGTGACTGGGTACTTATTCATATCCGCTTAAGTGACGTTCACCAGATCTATTCACACATTTTCGACTAGCCCACTTGATGTATTTTAACCAAATGTGGTAGGTATGTTTCTTCTGTAGTCCTTTTTCAGATCTTTTATAATAATATTTATCAGCCCCATATGAGAGGACAGGCCATGTCAGCACTGTGCCAAAGACAAATCAAACATTTTTCATTTACTTGCTAGTTTAAATCACACTTGATACGGTACTTATTCAGATTGTTTCAATTGAAGTTCATCGACCAGTTAAGATGGGAGTGATACCATTAATGGTTGGGGTAGGGGACATTGTCTTCTAACTATTACCACTTGCGCAACATTTTGTAGGAATGTTATTATTATTATTTATTATTATACATACATTTCTGTAGCGCTACTTCCACAACAGTGTTCAGAAGCGCTTTACAATATGATACACACAAAGATATGATAAAATACAAAAAAATAGAAATAACAAAAGTTAAGATCTGTTAAATATAAAATATAAATAAATTTGATCTAAAATATCAGAAAAAAATGACAAAAAGTTAAAATCTGTTAAATATAGAATATAAAATGTTGGCTTTTGGGTACCTACTATGTAAATGTATTTAAGATAAAAGTACTTGGCAACGAGAACGGTAGATTAAGAAAGTATTAGTATATTGGTCAATCCATTGATGGACGATTAGGTTCACTTAGGCTTTTGTTGGAACAAGAGTCTATCTCCAAGATAATAAAATGCCGAGTGTACTTTACAGGTTTACCAGCTATAAATATGATTCCATGGATAGCAGTAAAAGCTTGTCTAGAAAATACATTGTAAGTATATTTAAATCTGCTTTCTATAACACGTTGCACTTTATAATATTAGCTCTTTGTCGGACACCCTTCGTTTCTCTGAGTGATTAATATAACGTTTAACTCGTAATCTACACCACCACACTACTGTTTCAACACTTTCCGGTCTGGTCCCCCGCTTGCCAGGGTGGAGAGCCAGGCAAGGACAATGTCTAGTCTTTCGGATAGGACGAAAAACCAACGAATACATGTTGGCGTGCACGTAAACCCTCGTCAATTGGAATAAGAATGGACCGTAGACCGTCCCTCACAGGACACTGTATGGCGTATGTCCGCCTTCATTGGCCCAGTCGGTGCAGAAAAGTAGGACGTGAAACCCCATTTCATTTACTGTATCAATACATAGATTTCGTTTAAACCAGTACACCTGTAGTCTATTGGCCAATACAATAGCTAGTCCCCGGTCCACGTTTCCTACATTCTGTTTGAATAAACTCGTTAATGTATTTAGTCGCGGTTATCATGTTTTGACATAAAGGTTTTGGCTCGGGTTGATCTTATTTTATTGTGCTAAAAGTTAATTGATTTGTTGTTAAAGTGTGTGTGTGTTTTGACACACCAACCGCATTACACAAGCGGTCTTAAAACTATATCATTTCTTTTCAGTTGTTGGAACTTTCAGACCAGACCAGAATATTTTTGGATTTTAAAAGGTCCCGGAATAGCCGTTGTTGTGGTATGTTTTTGTTACATATAACTTTTTAAATTTTAGATCTTTTATATTATGTCCGTTTAAAAGTATCAATAATCAAAGATTTTACCTCCTTTAATTGACCAATAGATATCTTTTTTGAGCTACACTAATTTGGACGTTCACTGTCAACATATTTTATATGCATAAACTTTCGTATCTTCGCCACAGAATAGCGAGACTTTTAACCCCACCCCACCCGAAAAAATACATAAAAGATATAAGCGTTTGGTAAGTTTACAGAGATTTGTTGGTCAATCTTTGTTTGTATGTGTTGATTCTTGCCATTGTCAGCACGTCTATATCCAACGAAAGTCGGTATCCTTTTTATATCCCAGGCATGCCGTATTAAACAATTATTGTTATTTTTTATCCCCCCCCCCAAAAAAAAAAAAAAAAAAAACAAACAAAAAACCAAAACCAAACCACAAAATCAAAAGCATAAAACCTAAACATTATTTTTATGTTTCAGATAAATTTCTTCTTTTTCCTCGACATATTTCGAATTCTGTTCATTCGAATTCGATCACATCATCAGCATAATGGTACTAATTACAGGTTGGTATGACCCTTTTGAATTCCGCTTCATACCCATCAGTCTGAACTGAAGTCATAGCTTCATATCAGTCAATCTGAAGTCATCACCGCATACCGGTCAATCTGATGTAATCGCCTCATACCGGTCAATATCATTTTTGATATAATACCATATGAAAGTTATCCCGAATCGGATATAACTGACTCTACTTTCACATATTTTCATTAAGAAAGAAAAGCTATTAGTTTTGAATAATGTTATATTCAAAATAACTGTAGGTACTGACCTCCTGTAAGGCTATTTAAAAACGTGAACACATCAATTTAAACCTAACTTACCGTGTCTTGGCGATGGATTGGCATAACTGTGCATGATCTGACACCCATCCGTCTAACTGCATAATCAAATTAAATGTTTTATTGACATACAGAGAAGTTTTTAAGTTTTAACACCTAAATATTTATCTTATTTCAGAAAGCTTGCTAAATTCATACTCGTGTTAATCCCATTGTTTGGGATTATGTATATGGTATTTTATGTAGCATTTCCATCCGGATTCCAAGAAAATGGATATAATGTAATTTATCTTTATATGGAAATGACCTATAATTCATTTCAGGTAAGTGTGCTTTAATTGTATCTAAACGAACATAAATTTATTTCTGATAATCCGTCATGTAAATTTGGTCATCAGTTTATAGATTTTGAACACTTTCTCTTGTATTGCTCCTTATATTCATATGCTCGCAACAATACCATAAATCTACCGATTCTCCCCACTAATACTTTACTGTGCAGCATTGACGACACGGATAGCACACTTTATGTTTTTAAAACTGTCCACTCGTATTTCGATGAACATCTATAGCACCAGAATTCAAAATCTGAGCAAATAAAGTACCCACTCACTGTAATTACGTTTTACTTATACATTATTTATTTATTCATAAGATGCAAATATATGTATCTCTCTGACTGGAAAAATATGCCTGTTCTCCAATCCCTGTTCAGATATTGACTACTAGTTAGTGGCATATTGCATTTACCTAAAATAACATTATATTATTCCACCCTACTTGCATTTAATGGTCTATTCTACATACGATCTAACGCTTCATATCAGTTATCTATCCGCTTCGAGGTCTGATTTGAACCAATGTGATCGGCTATAACCTTTGTAGTCAAGCGAAAAGTATCCTCTCGTTGGCTAAATGAGCGGTCGAAATGAAATGAAATGGGGTTTAACGTCCTACTGTTCTGCTCCTATACTGGGCTAATGAAGACGGGCATACGCCACATAGTGTGCTATGAGGGAAATTTTGCCCGGGCAACGGCACTATCGCCTACTCTTATATCGAATTCCAACTGCCAAGGGATCTTTTACGTGCATTCCAATATATACGGGACCTCGGTTTTTCGATTCATCCGACGGACTAGACAGCTGTCGTTGTCAGGGCCCTCCGTTCTGCACCACTGACAAGGGGAAACCACGTCGGAAAATCTGGATGAACTTTCTCGGCCAATGCAGGGATCGAACACCCGACCTCCTGGCTAGCGAGCCAGCGTCTTAACCACCTAGCCACCGTGGCTCCCAAATGAGGGGTGGAGTAAGGTCAGTTGAACAGAAACTTCTTATATAATTAGTTCATTATTATTTATCAATTTCTATTTTACAGGGATTCATATTGGCCTTATTATTTTGTTTTCTAAATGAAGAAGTGCAGAAAGAGATGAAGAGAGTTTGGTATCGACGGCAAACACGGAAAGGGGAAAATTTGGCGCTAACTAAACACTCCCTCATGTCGTCATGGAAAAAATCGTCATTACAATCAGTGCACACACCTACGTTACGTAAAGGACAAAAATACATGGGAGGTTCTCGAGAAAGTTCACCAGAGCTGGTGCTCGAGGAGCAAAATGTTGACAGATCAGACGACCTATTGAAACATGTGTTGAAGCATAATGCTGATATGAAAACCAATGCCGTATAGTGAAGGATCAAGGCATTACAGGGAACTATTAACGCTGTCTAGTACAGAAACAAAGCAGTTGCGGGAACTGTCTACGCTGTCTAGTACAAACCCAACGCAGTTCAGGGAACTTGTTACGCTGTCCAGAACAAAATCAACGCAGTTGTGAGAACTATCCACATTGTCTGTACAATATAATATATATTTAGTGAATGCGTGAAGTGAAAAAAAAACCCAAAGCAGTGTAAATAATACAAGTTGAATATGAACCAAGGCTATATCTAAGTACCGCTAAAGAATCGTACTGAGAAGTTGGATTAATTAGACGTAATCCACGCTTACAAAACTAAAGGTGTCACGTGGAATTGAAATATATTCAAAGATAGAGGTGTAAAAAATATATAGAACACATTGCTCAAATATTCCCATAATTTTCCGAATTGATACAAGATTTTATGTGCGAAGATCACATAGACATATATGCTAGAATAGTTAAGTCTCACGATGTTTTCAGTTCACAAATTTGACATGCAGTTGAAGCATTAATTGTTGTTTAACCTAGCAATGATCAAATTACGTCTTATAATGTCTCAGTTAACTTTGTTGAGAGTACTTGAATATTGTTATAATGACCATCTGCCAGAAGAAGTAATAATGTTGTTGAAGATTAGTAAATTATATTTTGTGAAATGTGGACACCATCACCCAATTTAAGATGTTTATTATGGTGGACAATGTAGCTTGTGTAAATTATATTGTGTTAAATGTAAATAAAATTAATGATTAAATAACACTATAGAGAGAGAGAGAGAGAGAGAGGGAGAGAGAGACAGAGAGAGAGGGGTGGAGGGTTAACAAGATGACCCTACTTTTCACGGATTAGCTTGACTGCTATACAGAACAAATTGTATGTCCGTTAACTTTATTCATATAACCAAGGTTGTTTGGAGCTATACCTCGTTAACCACACACATGGTAGCAATCTAAAACAGTAGTTTGAATTTCATTGTTAGCTTTTGGAATTCTATTAATGAGAAATGATAGCGGGTGTTCTAAAATGGTTAAACATACTCTGTACGACACCCGGTGCTACTTATAACTGTAGTCATGATTCTCATACAACATATAAAAGTTTGTTTAAATCATATACTGGCACACAATAGAGGGTAAATATATTTGATAAATATAATATTGAAAGATTTGTAGATTTTTTTATCCATGTAGTGGAGTTAGTAGAATGTGATTCCCTTCTATACTGCTGTCTCGGTCGATCTTGGGGGGATTACTCTGAAACTTTTGAAAAATGCTATGTTTAAATGAAAAGCTTATAAATCTCTGATCTATACACCTTGCCACATTGCCAATCGTCTTTCCTCTCTCATGCGCGCGGCTTGTTTCCTGTAAATAATGACGATATTTCATAGTAAAAGGTGGCTTTGTTCTTCGAGGGGTCGCGATCAGATGATAGTTTCTGGAATTGGGTCGCAAACAACAACAGGTTGGGAACCAGTGATATGGGACATATTCCTGAAACAATGGCCCGGGAAATCCCTCTCAAACCATGGCTGTACAAGGAACGAAAAGTTGGATTTTTGACGTATAGTGTGACTATTTTGTCGTCCAATGAAATCTCTCCTGAATGCCGTTGATGGAAGTCGTAGGTCTATTCAGTTGTTACGTTATGTAGGCGTGGTTGTTACTATATTTAGGGGATCACGTGGCTAAGTGGGTAAGACGCTGGCTCGCTAGCCTGGAGGTCGGGTGTTCGATCCCTGCATTGGCCGAGAAAGTTCATCCAGATTTTCCGGCGTGGTCCCCCCTTGTCAGTGATGCAGGACGGAGTGCCTGACAAGGACAGCTGTCTAGTCCTTCGGATGAGACGAAAAGCCGAGGTCCCGTGTATACATTGGAATGCACGGAAAAGATCCCTTGGCAGTTGGAATTCGATATAAGAGTAGGCGATAGTGCCGCTGCCCGGGCAAGAATTTCCCTCATAGCACACTGTATGGCGTATGCCCGTCTTCATTAGCCCAGTATAGGAGCAGAACAGTAGGACGTTAAACCCCATTTCATTTCGTTACTATATTTCTTTACGTTAACATATTGAAAGCTCCGGTTTGTTACGCTACAATAGATTGGTTGTTAACTCGACAGTTAACCTATACTCCTCGCAGTGTTTCGTTTGTAATGGAAGCAAATTTCTGTTCCTAATTATGACTGGTCAATAGTCCGATTAAAAACCAATAGGTAACTGCGTAATAAAATCATTCGGCTATAAACAGAGCTCCAAATTGGACCAAATATGTTTACATAACGTTACGTCATGACTCACGAAATATTACGCCCAATTAACTCAGAAGACAAGTCAGCAATGGCCAGAGAGGGATTTCTCGGACCATTGCTTCAGGAACATGCCAGTCATCAGTCAGTCCAACAGTGGTTGAGTGTTGGATTGGGTTGAATCAAACGAAGCACTACGAATAGTATGAGTATACAGACCAGTATATCGATATTGCAGAACGTTATTCAAAGGATTCTCAAAAGATCTAGACCCCACATGGGCTTTAATAATATCGTATTTCTTGAAAAACGGCTAATATGACAACAGCTATCATTCTAGAGAGAGTCTAATGAAAGTCATTACACATGAAATATAAAAAAAATAGGGACTACTTTTGAACAGTTTACAATCCAAATTGAATATGAATTTGACAGCGTGCTAGACATCGCCAGACCATTATTATTTTTTGTTGCCTACAGACAGTTCAGCTTGTTTGGGAGAGATAATCAATCCTCTGATAGTAGGTCTGGGAGGGATAATAAATCATCTGACAGTAGGTCTGTTAGAGATAATCCATCTTCCGATAGTATGTTTGTGACATGCAGCTAAATTTGTACATGGCTGCGGACCGGGATTGGGGAATCACCTAATCCTCCTGCTTTTGAAAAACAATTTAAATGGGTATTTACATCTATAGTCAAAATACGCCAATATGGGGGCTAACCCACCACAAATTCCTTTAGAAGGTTTTTTTGGTAGCAATTTGTTGAGCGCCTTCACTGTACATCATACTAAAACTCCACCGAAATCCAACTAGGGTTTGGAAGTTATCGATGTGACAATTTACATTGCGATGAATTTGTCTGGAAGGGAATATCCTTGGAGACTATGACATAACAGGCTATGGCGTCACACTTTTTTCATTCTAAGGAAACCACGTGCGATTCCAACAGGTGTGCTGGGTTCGTTTATTCATCAAACAGAAAACAAAAGATGCCATTTTTCTCAACGGGAATTACAATATTTCAACACGTGGGTCTGTTTAATAATGGGATCTATTAAAATTATTCAGCGATCGAGTCTTGGTTTTAAGCAATTTGATTGGTTGATAATTTGGGACACGATAACTTTGTATCTTAAAAGTTGAAATGAAATTAAATGGTTTTTAACGTCCCATTGTTCTGCACTGATAAGGCTAATGGAGACCAGAGAGAGAGAAAAATAGGGTTTAACGTCCACTCGACACAAACTAGGTCATTTCGGGACTAACATGGTTTAATTTTATTTCAATAATTCGCTTGCGCGTAGGGGTCTTTAGCAGTGGGAGGAAACCGGAGGACCCGGAGAAAACCCACGAGGTTGGAAAGGCGACCCTACTCCTTGCCACGTACAACCGGGGATTCGAAACCACGCCAGTTGACTCAATGACAGGTTTTATGATACAGCGCGCGCACGCTAACCATTCAGCCATCCAACCCCCCCCCCCCTAATGGAGACGGGCATACGTCATGCAGTGTGCTATGAGGAAAATTTTGCCCGGGCAGTGGCACTAGGGCCTACTCTTATATCGAATTCAAATTGCCAAAGGATCATTTACGTGCACGCCAATGTGCACACGGGATCCGGTTTTGCGTCCCACCCGAACGACTAGACCCGCCTTCCTGTATCCCTGACATGGGGAAACCACACCGGAAAATCTTGATGAACTTTCTCGACCAAAACCAGTTGTATAAACGGAAAATATATTTTTTGTCCCATCCGTACGGCTAGACGAGTTTGTTTAAAATCATAAATAGAAATACATAAATATCATTTTTAAAAATTTATTTTAATTTAAAACATTTTCAACACCAAGAAAGGCAAGTAAAATAATATGAAAGTAATGATAAATATAACATGCATAAAGCCATAATGATAGTAGTTAAATAAATATTGGTCACAATAAAATATAATCCAAGATGAGTAAAACCTTCGGTCAAAATCAAGGTTATCCCTCTTGCTATGTAATTCTCAGAAGTTTCACATTTCCACTTTACCTCAAAATACATCACAAAGATAAAAAAAGGGAAATGACTGTTTATGTAATTCAATCTAGCCACTTTTATACACTTTTAAACATAGATATAAAATACCGTAATAATAAAAGTAAAAATAGGTTGTTGATTAATGGAACATACGATATTAGCAGCTTAGACGTCACAGCAGTTCACAAGCTCTAGGGTTCTAATATTTCTCATGTTTTGTTGGAAATGAAAGCATTTACAAGACACCATAAACTGAGTAAGAGTAAAAACCTATTACGCAATTATCATAAATCATTAGGGTTTGTTTGCATTCTAGTTCTATATCATGCTAACGTTTATTATACAAAACATGATTGTAATTTATGTGTTCTAGTTATCGGAATTCGCTAAAATAAAATCAATGACTTCTTCGTATCATGAACAAGCTGTGTGTACAATCAGTTGACAACCTCGGTCTCTAGAGCGGCCGACAAGATTTTAAAAATGATCAAGAGACATAACTCTGGGAGTAATTATTGGACGACGGACGGACCAACGGACGTGACGACATTTCAATATGGGCGTGTTACAAATTGAAATTCTGCTTACTTGAAATCACACGATTTAAGACTCATTAACAATAAGATGTTTTTTTTTCTGTGATTTACAATATCTGACAGAAAGTTTAGTAAATATAAATATTTACATAGGGGATGATAGTACGGGCGAAATTACGATTTGCACTAAACGATGGGCGGAGAGTAGGTTACACTGAAATTCTGCTTATACCCTAAAACTTGAAATCACACGATTTACGACTCATTAACTCTAAGATGTTATTTTTTCTGTGATTTACAATATCTTACAGAAAGTTTAGTAAATATAAATATTTAGATAGCGGATGATAGTACGGGCGAAATTACGATTTGCACTAAACGATGGGCGGAGAGTAGGTGTATGCGCCCCGAGGTAGACACGCTTCAAGGTTAACCCATTCTAAGTTGAGCCGAACTCTCCCCAAAACTAATTACCTAACTAACCCAATCTAGGGTTTCGCGTCTCTAAATGGGCTAGCCGTTCGAATTACTAAGTTCCTAAAATATATCGGATTGATCAAAAATATATTCTAAATTACAGTCAATGATTAAGTTAAGGCTCAATACCACTCTTGCTGTAACTGAATAATATGTCCCAATCTTTATTCTGGTCAACAAATTGTACTATTTTACAATATTCCAATTAATTGATGATACAAATTTCATCTTAACACACCTAATTTAAAAAATTGGAAAAATTCAACTAAATAATTTAAAAAGCCTGACGTAAAGCTTTTCAAATGTGACTTGGAATTAAAAATATTTTTGAATCCTCTGGACAAGTAAAATAGGATATAATGGATAATTTACACAAGTAGGACACTAACACATCTAGTACTTAGAATAAGGATATTCTTTATTCTCTGGAGCTGTCAAGCCAGCAAGAGTGTTATTGTCCCTTTAAGGACAAGGTATTCCGATTTTGCACATGGTTAATCGATCATCTTTACAACAAAATGACAATGACCAGCATTGGTATCAATATGATATACAAAATATATAATTCTAATTTTATTTTTCTAAGAGCAGAAAAATTGTTAAACTGCTTTCAACTATCACAATATTTGTCAATGACATTATTAACGCACAATTAGCATAGGCATCAAACGATTAAAAGTAAAATTCGATCGGCGACGGATAGTTTTCATTACAATGTCACGTATTAGTCGATCAGTGTTCTCATTTGAATCGACGGTCGCCATTTTGCATAGCAACCAAAAGTCAAAATGGCCGTGAAGTTTATAATAAAACTTGAATATTTGAAGAAGACAAGTGAATC